TTTTTTGGTTTTTCTCCGGTACCAGGAACCGAACTCACGGCCTTGCGCATGCCAGGCAGGCGCTTTTGCCGCTGAGCTAAATCCCCAGCCCCCCTATTGCATTATCTCTTAAGCCACTTCATAGTTATTCACGAGGGGCTTTAAAACCAAACTGCTCCCCAAATGGGCCAAGAACCTGAGCGGACTTTTCTGTGGAGGATGCTCAACACAACTCTTCACACCTACCACAATGGTACCATAAACACGAACCCAGAACAGCCCCAGAAAGTGGACTCTTCATAGCATTTCTTGTGGAAATATAAAACGGTACAACCACTTTGCAAACTGTTTAGCCTAAGACCCAGCAATTCCATTTTTTACGGTATGAAAAATACCCCAGAGAACGGAAAACATGTTCACACAAGACCTGTACACCAACGTTCACAGTACTGGTCCTAACAGTCTAGAAGGGGAAACAACTCAAAAGACCACCAACTGATCGAGAGATAAGCAAAGCATGCTGCATTTGTACAATGAAATATTATTTGGCCATAAAAAGGAATGACATACTACTGATACATGCCCACACCATAGATTAACTGGAAAACACGACATTAAGTTAAAGGGGCCAAAAAACCAAAATGCCACACAGAGCATGGCTCACTTAAACGACATACCTAGGGGGGCTGGGGATTTAGCTCAGCGGCAAAGCGCCTGCCTGGCAAGCGGAAGGTCATGAGTTCGGTTCCCGGTACCAGAAAAAAAAAAACTAAAAAAAAAAAAAAAAAAATACGACATACCTAGAACAGGCAAACCCACAGACACAAGAGGTCCCCTGGCAGCCAAGGGCTAGAGGGAGAGGTGAATGCACACAGCTATATAAAGGACATTTAAGCCGTTTTTACATTTTCGGGCGATGAAACTGTTCTGGTGGTGGTTGCTCAATACTGAAAAACACCCAGTCGTACACTTTAAAGTAGTTAAAAAGATAAATTTTATCTAAAACAAAAGGGAAGTGGCCCCGAATATTTACACATCTACAGAACCTACCCACGTGCAGGCAAGCCACCCCAGGAGAATCCTCAGGGTACATGGATCCATACAAACCCTGAATTCTTCTTCACTTACGGTACTTTTTTTTTTTTTTTTTTACTTAATGCAAATTTGAGACTTCCCAGTACTTGTTCCTCAACTGGAGGGTCATTGTCTGCAACGCAAATCTTAATTAACAGATCCTCAACACTGAGTAACAAACACGACAGTATGGGTACTTGCCACCCTACACGGGCCAGGTAACGTGCAATGCCATTATTATTCCCATTTTATCGCCGAACAAACCAAGTCTCCCATCAAGTCACCCCACCCTCAGGAGTTCATAAGGTTTTTTTTAAAAAGGCCAATTTCCTACTAGGAACAACTAAGTTTCCCACCGCTCGCTTGAAAGAGGCACACAGCGGACGGCTGTTCGCCAAGCACTGGCAGAATCGGCGGGGAACAAGGCCCAACACTGCGAGAAGCGGACGCCGCGGCGCCGGGGAGAACCCGCCCGAGGGGACCCGGCCACTCGCGCAGACACCGCGCCG